CCTTTCTAGATTATAAGAGCTCTTTGAAAGAGCCCTTATGAAGTGATAATAAAAATGCTTAATGTAGTAGTATAAACTACAGGAGAGGAAGATAGTACATTATGAAGCGACAGACAAGACTTGCTTTCTGCAGCCCTTCTTACACAATATATGTATCAGTGTTTCTCAAAGTGTTCTGAGAACTACGTGTATCAGAATGCCTTGGGAGTGTTTGTTAAAAACACAGCTTCCTGGATCCTAACTGACTCCATGAATTGGAATCTCTGGGAATAGGAGCAGATGCTTTTGATGGGTGTTAACAGTTTGTAATCTCTTGTATGATCTCTTGCACTTCTCTTGGTAATATAGGCCAGTCTAAGTCATGTAAACATTTTAAAGAAAATCACCTGCTATAGAGTCGCTATGAGTCACATTTGACTCAATGACAGTGGGTTTGGTTTTGGTTTATACCTGTTATAGACAACTTTAATTATCTAGGGAAATCAGGCAAAAATTATTTCAGTGTGTCTCTAAGTCCCCATATAGCCTCTGCCTCTTCTGCACACCTCATTCACAATATTGATAGTGTTGCATTGTAAATAAGAACATAAGTCCATTGGCACACTATTATTATTCTATTTATTCCCACACTCTCTACTAGCTTGTTATAGACTCTGTTTATAGTTCTTCTAGTAGTTACTCTACAGATGAACATGTATCCCTGATGAACTAAAGTCTAATACAAATGAATACTTTAACTTAATTCTGTTTACACTGCCAACTTATGAACTCTCAGTATCATGTATTTTAAATTTCTCTGTATTATATACTCTACAAAACATTGTTAATTCTTCTACAGTCAGTATTTATTTAGATTTATTCTTTTCTTTGTTCTTTATTCTTGTATCTCTGAGCTTCCAAGTGGGGGATAATTTTTGTTCTGCCTATCTGTTGGTGATTAATTCTCTCAGCTTTGCTCTGAAAATATTTTTATTTTACCTTCATTTTTGAAGGCTGTTTTTACTGGGCATAGAATTCTAGGTTGGCAGCAATTTTATTTCATCACTTTAAAGATATCATCCATTGTGTTCTGGCCTACACTGTTTCTTTAGGAAGTCAGCTGTCAGTCTTACTGTTGCTCCTTTGAAGATAATGTTTACTCCTTCTTCTGGCTAATTTTGAAAGTTTTCCAAAGCCTTTGGTTTTCAGCAGTTTTACTGTGATTTTCCTAGGTGTGGTTTCTTTGTTCTTATCCTGCTTAGTTGATAGTACCTCTTAAGTCTGTGACTTGATGTTGTTCATTAATTTTAGAAAATTATTAGCCATTATATCTTCAAATATTGTGTCTGCCATTTTCTTCTTTCCATCCAGAATTATATGTATATTAATATGTCCATCCTCCATATCCCATATACCACCAATACCTTTTATGAGTTTTCCAGACTTTTTGTCTTTTTCTGCTTTAGTTTAGATATTTTCTTTTGACCTATTATGCAGTTCACTAATTTTCTTTTCAGCTAAACCTAATCTGGTGTCTAAATAGTCTATTGATTTTTTTT